ACAAACACCATTAGAACAAATCATTCTATTCATTAAGAGAATGCAACTATATACCTATCCTAACCACTTTGAATACACAGATACAAAATGGACATTCATCGGTATACCCCATTTTTTCTAAGTTCCGTTATTGAATATTATAGGTAGTGTTCTGTTTAGAAAGTCCTTCCTGTGCCTCTATCTTGAAGAGTTGTGCCTGTGTTATCTTGCAGATTGTTTCTGTTCCAGTATTTAGATCTTTGATCTAATTTTATTTTAACTCAGTACATGGCCAGTGCCCCCACACCCTTTGCTACAGTTTTTATCTTTCCTCCAGCAAACATTTTTTTGTTAAACTCTGATAGCTGAATGTGCAGAGCTGTCTCTGCACCCTCTGTCCTGTTCCATTCATCTGTATGAGTTTTACTGAGAGTAAAATAATGTTTTTACCGCTGTAGTTTTCTTTTTTTTTTTTTTTTCCTGTATTTTAGGAAAGGGTCTACAGAGTGTTCAGGGTCTCACTACTAGATCGGACTCGGAGCTATTCTCCTGTTTACAGCGTCCCAAGAGCTGGGATTACAGGCGTGCGCCACCACGCCCAGTCTTAATCACTGTCTCAGGGCACCCCAGGGAAGGGGCCAGCACAGCAGGCTGGAGATTGAACCCCTGGCTCCTGCACCTGCTTGCAGTGCTTTAATCCGCTGAGCTATTTGGCCTGCCCTAGCACTGTAATTTTAAGTCTACAATTTTAAGTCTACAACTTAAAATTGTAGACTGTGCCGCTACTGCTTTGCTCTTCTTTCCTAGGACTGCTTTTGTTATTCTGGGTCCCTTCAGTTCCTTACAAATTTCAGGATTGTTTTCTCTAGTTCTATCAGGAACACTTTTGTTATTCTCATCTGTATTGCATTAAGTCCGTACACCACTTCTGGTGATACAGCCATTTTGACATCTCGGTTCTGCCTATCCAGGAACAGGGAGCATCTTCCCATTTTCTGAAGTCCTCTTCGATCTCCTTCACAGAGCACTGTAGTTTTCATCATAGAGGCCTTTCACTTCCTCAGATATGTTAATTGCTAAGAATTTAATTTTTCCTGATGCTGTTGTGTACTGTTTTCCCATTTCTTTCTCAGCGAGTTCATCACTGGTACAGGAACACTACTGATTTTTGTGTATTGATTTTGTGCCCTACTACATAGCTAAATTTATCAGTTCTAGGAGAATTTTGAAGGACTCTGAGTGTTTTAAGGGACTGTCTCATCTGCAAATGATGACAACTTGTGATCCTTCTTTCTGTACCTATCCCCCTTTCATTTTGCTTGCCTACTCTATCTGGTTAATGTCTCTAGTACTATATTGAAAAAGAGGGCTGCCAAGGTAGCTCATCGGACTGAGCACCTGCTTTGGGAAGCACAGTGACCAGGGTTCAATCCTCGGTCCTGAATGCCACGCCAGCCCCACCCCAATGTCTGGGTGGTGGCACATGCCTGTAATCCCACCACAGGGGAGGCTGAATAAAGGAGGATCGCTTAGAAGTCCAAGCTGCATAGTGAGACACTGTACCAAATACATAATTGAAAACAAAAAAGAAGAAAAAGAAAAAGAATGCTGATATTGGACATCTCTGTCTTTTTTCTCATTTTAAAAGGAAAGCCAGGGGCTGGGGAGATAACTCAGTAGAATAAGCACTTGCCTGGAAAACGCAAGGGCCTGAGTTCAATCCCCAGTTCCACAAAAAAAATAAAAAAATAAAAAGAAAGAAATTCTTAAAAGGAAAGCCTGCACTCAGGATGCTGAGACAGGAGAATCAGTGCAAGTTCGAAACCAGTCTGGGCTACAAAGTGTGCTCAAGACCAGCTAAACTACACAGCAAGACCTTGTCTCAAGAAGACAAAAAAAGGCTTTCTGTCCAACATCTTGACAGGCCTGCAGTGGTAGCTGCTGCTCTTCGGGCTCCGCAACACCACCCAAAGATGACAAGAAGAAGAAAGATGCCAGAAAGCCAGCCAAGAAAGACAAAGACCCAGTGAACAAATCTGGGGGCAAGGCCAAAAAGAAGAAGTGGTCCAAAGGCAAAGTTCAGGCTAAGCTCAACAACCTGGTTCTCTTTGAGAAAGCTACTTACAACAAACTTTGTAAGGAAGTTTCCAACTATAAACTTATAATGCCTGCTGTGGTCTCTGAGAGACTGAAGATCTGGGGTAACTGGCCAGAGCAGCCCTTCAGGAGCTCCTTAGTAAAGGGCTTATTAAGTTGGTCTCAAAGCACAGAGCTCAAGTTATTTATACCAGAAATACCAAGGGTGGTATGCCCCTGTCGCTGGTGAAGATGCATGATGAACAGGCTCAACCAGGTGTACATTTGCAAAAAACAAAATTTTATTATTAAATAAAAAAAGACAAAAAAAGAAAAAAGCAGGAAAGCTTTCAGTTTTTCCCCCTTTTAATATGATGTGGCATTAGATTTGTCATAAAGGACTTTATGGAATATGGTCCTTTTATACCTATTTTGTTGTTAAGTTTCTTTTAATATGAATGGACATTGAATTTTGTCAAAGGCCTTTTCTTCACCTGTTGAGATAATATAAGCATATTTATACATATGTTTATATCAGCACAATTCACAGTAACTAAATCTTAGATACATCTCATATCCATCAACAGGTGAATGGATAAAGGAAATGTGGCATTTATACACAATAGAGTACCACTCCGCTGTCAAGAGGGATACAAGTGAGACATGTGAAACAAAGTAGATGTGGGGCTGGAGAGATGGCTCAGTGGTCTAAAGCACCTACTTGGAACAAGCTTGGCAAAGGCATCAGGGACCGCGGTTCGATCCCCCAGCACCACATGCCAGCCAGCCCCGCCCCCTGGTGGGCTGAGCTGGCCACACACACACAC